CAGTTATCGATATTTAATTATTTTAATTTTTTACATAAATATTTTATTTAAAGAATTTAAAAAAACAAATGATTCAAATCGATTTCAAAATAGACCTACGAGATCTAAATGCTCTCTCAAATTGATATGATAGTTTGAGAGAAGCCAAACCTTATTGCATTGCAAATTATTTAAATTGTGTTTCAGTCTTGAATTTGTAAAATAAAAATAAAATAAAATAAAGTAGATGAAGAAGAAACAAGGAAAAAAAACTTTTCTCTTTTGTTTTAAATATTTTTCACCTTCTTTATAAATTCAAAATAAAAAAAAAATTAAATCAACAATTGTAAAATGAAATAGATAAATAAATTAAACTACCCCGTTTTGCTGTCATATTTTTTTTTTTTTTAAAAAAAATAAATTAAACGACCCCGTTTTACTGTCACAGCACCCCGTTTCGTACTCACAGGAATAAAATAAAATTAAGAGTCAAATCGATTTAATTCGGTCAATAAAGACCTGATTTTGGATTGTATCATCATGATTTAATTGATTGTTACCATATTTGCCTCACTCACAATTAACATCTCTTATTTAGGCAACCAAAGTCACATTAAAGCTTTCTTGATTGTAATACACCCGAAAGCGTCTCGTGTAATACTCTCATGCCCCTAAAATGGTAACCTATACTTTGAGCACTATAAATACCATCGAGTGTGTTTTGAAAAGGAAAAAAACACAGTAAATCACCAAAAATGACAGGAAATAAGATTAAACTTGAATGGATAGTCAATGACTCTTCAAGGAAATCCACTCTTAAAAGAAGAAGGGCTGGCATATTCAAGAAAGCCGGAGACCTGTCCACCCTATGCGATGTGGAAATTGGTGTTCTTGTTTACAGTCAAGACGAAGACGATCTTGCAGTTTGGCCATCTTACGGGCACATGAAACAAATGTTTGAAAGGTTCCTCAGTATCCCAATAGTAGAACGAAGCGAGAAAATGACGACATATGAAGGCTTGCTCACACAAAGGGTCACGCAGGAGACCCATAAGAACAATATGGAAAAGAAAAATAATGATAAGAAAGAAATTCAAGAAATCATGAATCAAATCTTTGAAGGTAGCAATCTATATCAACTTGACATAATGAGACTAAATTATTTGTCATTGTTAACAGGTGATAAGCTGATGCAGCTTGAGGAAAGAGAGAGAGCACGCAGACAGCATGCTCTAAGAAGTACGGATACTCTCGCTCCTGCTCCTCGTCCGAGAATGATTGAAGTGGACGAAGCGTTCCAAGCTCACACTAGTACTGAAGCAACATGCATAGAGCAGTTGATGAATGACAACTGGTTCATAGAAACAATGGCTCTTAATCAGGACATGCCGGGTCCAAGTGGGGTGAGTGATATGGGGATGCCATCAGGGTCTGTTGTCGACAGAATGAATGGTGATAATGAAGAGGATTTGCCAGAGGACCTCAATGCATTCTTTCCTCACATTTACTCCCCTTAAAATGCTTTGTTCTTCAATCATCCAAAAATAAAATATGCATCTCAGTAAGAAGAAAATTTAGTGCATCTTGTATGCAATTTTATTTTATTTTTTCTTTTTACTTTCTTATAATGTTTTTTAAGTTTTATCTTTTGGTATCTATGTAATGAATTATATCAAAGGCTTCTTTTAGTTCAGTGTTGGAGCAACCAAGAGTCACCACCAACCCTAAAATGGGGCCTATATACATACCACTCAAAAAGATCAAATAAACTAAAAAAAAAAAAATTACAAAAACCAGAAAATTAATTTATATGATCCGCAAAGACACAGGCACAAAACTCTTTGAGATGCTTGAGAGAACATGAAGCATCTCAAACCAAAACCCTATAAACACAAGAATAAAAACAATAACAGAGATTCTCAAACCAAAAGTAACTGAGACACTCATGCTATAGGATCTGCCACCGCCTGTCAAGCACCCAGTTCTGGTAATGGCTACCCAACAAACAAGGCAGAAAACTATAACATACAAAACCAAACAACCGACCTACGATAGCAGGCCTAACAAATACTGAGTTTTTTTTACCCTTTTTATTTTTATGATAGTAAACTCCATATACAGTAATCCAAACCCGCATGGTTCACTTGGCACCCTTCTTTGCTGCAGCCTTGGTGACCTTGGCTCCAGTAGGATCCTTCTTCTCGACACTCTTGATAACACCAACAGCCACAGTCTGCCTCATGTCCCTAACAGCAAAACGTCCAAGAGGTGGGTATTCAGAGAAGGTCTCGACCACCATGGGCTTGGAGGGGATCATCTTCACAAAACCCGCATCACCATTTTTCAAGAACTTGGGTTCCTTCTCAAGCTCCTTGCCAGATCGCCTGTCAATCTTGGTCACCAGTTCAGCAAACTTGACAGCAATATGGGAGGTGTGACAGTCAAGAACCGGGGCATAACCATTTCCAATTTGTCCAGGGTGGTTCACGATGATGACTTGAGAGGTGAAGTTAGCAGCCTCCTTAGCAGGATCGTCCTTTGAGTTTGAAGCCACAAATCGACGCTTCAGATCCTTCACAGTAACATTCTTGACATTGAAGCCAACGTTGTCACTAGGCAGGGCCTTTAGAAGAGCTTTATGGTGCATCTCCCTCATTAACATATATATATATATATATATATATCCAAGAACAATAATACAAAAGTCACCACAGACTTGTATATATAAAAGATGGGTTTGATTTGATCAGATCAAACTAGAAAGTAGAGATATGGAAGGGAAAGTGAAAGAAAGAAGATGAAAAAGTGAAAGAATAGGGAAAAAATATTTTAATAATATTTTAGGAAAAGAATAGGGAGTTTGTTGGGAAAAGTAAAAAAGTGATTCTTAAAATAAGAAATGACTTTTTTTAATAATATTTTAAGATAAAATTTAGGTAATTGTTGAGAAAAATTCAACACAATAAAGTAAGAATAATACGCGAGTAAACTTCGAAATCTTTATCGTTGAGAAAAATCCAACACAACAAAGCAAGCACAAACAACAAGCAGTACCAAACCCAAAGCTCGTGAGTGATCTATCAACTCCAAGCCAACTCCTAAGACCATCTCCAACGGTTCATCAGAGTTGATATCAAATTTAAATTTTGATGAAAAAGTTACTGTTTACTATTTTAACGGTTGCACCAAATCAATATCAGATTGAGATTTCATCAAATAATTCATGAAATCGACGACAAGATACTGATTTCACCAAAATACTGTTGGTGACCGTTGGAGGGAGGACCCGGTCGACCAACCGGCTGCCCGGCCGGTTGACCAACCGGTCGACCGAATTCCTTTGAAATAGATAGGTTCAAACCGGTCAAAAAAGGTTCAAACAGGCACAAAAAAAAATATATATATATATATATATATATATATTTTTGCCTTACCGGTTGATCAGCCGGTCGACCGGCCGGTCAACCAAATGGTCGACCCACCACCAAACTGTTTCAATTGATGCATCTATGAGAATGAAAGCTGCAACTGGTGGATGAATCAATGAGAATGAAAGGCAATTTCAATTGGTGGGTTTTCACGCCAAAGATATTGACAGCAACCAAACAATTGGTGAGTTTTCATCAATTGATATAATTGGTGGGTTTTCATCAATTCAAATAATTTCAGAAACATAGCGTTCTAAAAAAAATATTTATGCTTACCGGTCGACCAATCGGTTGACCAACGGGATTTGATACAGGATTTGATGCACACTGTTGGAGGTAGTGATATCAAATTTGATAAAATGAGTCATTTTTTATTCAGATTTGGTGAAAAAAAAAGTTCAGCGTTGGAAATGCTCTAACTTGATTCCAAAACTATCTTTTACATAGTTGATTTCAAACCTAAATTAAAAGAATTGTGTCAAGTAATCTATCAATCAATACGTAAAAATTCTCATTAGCAATTTTAGAATATAGGAACAAGAACATGCAAAATTATAAAATTAATAGATACTACGATCAAAAGGAAAGTAAATATAGGAAAAAAATATAATGATGGTCCCAAACAAACAACCTCTCTCTCTCTCTAAAACCTCTAACCCCGGGTCTCACCGTTGGCCGGCTGGCCACCGCCTTTGGTCATGGCGGTCGGTTGGCCTTGCCTCTTATTTTGTCTGTTTTTTATTTTCTCATAATAAACTTGAATCCCCTTTGTTTCCTACCTCATCTTTTCAGATTTATAGCTTGCTGAGCTGTGTTACTTGGGAGTGTTTCATAATGGGTGTTTTTCAGACCATGGGGGGTGTTTTCAGACCATGAGAGGTGGTAAATCAAGGTCAAGGTAAGTGTTCGTCAGTGAAGAAGAAGGTCAGTGGTAGGTATTGGGTCGACTTGAAGGACGTTCCAGATTTGGTTTGGGTCTTCACTCAGGCGCTTCTTTGCGAGTGGGAGTTTGAGGGGTGAACTCCGTTTCAGATCTATGGAGGTGTTTCGACGCTTTGTTCGGGGAAATATGGGTGTCAAAGACGATCCTGATATGTTTTAGGACTTCATTCGAGCGCTCCTATGCGAGTGGGAGATTGAGGGGTGAACTCGTCCAGATGCAGAGGAATTTTAGCTACGAGTATGATCGGTGTTTGGGTCGAACAAGAAGGAGAGGTCAGACCGTGGAAGTGGAGGTGGCAGTGGGTCTTGTTTCGGTTGCGGCAGTGGCTCTTTGTTCGGCCATGGGTGTGTCTAGTTCCAGCCAAGTTAGCTCCGGCCATGGGTGTTTTTCGGTAATGCAGGAAGTTGTGTTGGTTGGTCATGGGTGATTTCGGTAATGCAAGAGTTTAGGGGTGGGGTTGATACAAAAAAAGAAAAAAGGGGTTAGGCGTGGGCGACAAGCTTAAGAGCATCTCGAATGGAGTTTGTTATAGTATATTGTTATCGCTATAATTTATCAATAAATAGTGTTATTTTATCAAATTCTAATAATGATATTTTAATGGTTATTTTTTATTTTAACAATTCTTAACTAACTTTTCCTCTAAGTTTCTAGGTGTTGTTTAGATATATGTTTCTTAATATTTTTTTGTGTTTATTTTTTGTCTTTTGTGACTTTTTTTTAACTGTTTCTAAAAAAATTATATATTTTTATTACTCCCGACTAGAAAAATATAAAAAATTTTAAAAATTGAAAAACAAATTTAATATAATTCACCCTACCAAAAAACATATCACTACAAAAAAAAATAATAATTTTTTTTAATTACATAAAAATAAATAAACAATCACCAACTACTCACAAACAATCATCTATCATTCACCCAATATTTATTTACCAACAACCACCCACCCAACAACCATCCATTAATCATCCACCATTTACTTACCAACAACTATCACCACCAACCATCTATTATTCACCCAGCATTCATTCATCAATAATCATCCATCATTCACCCAACATTCATTTACCAACAACCACCCACCAACAACTATCCATTACTCACCCATCGTTCATTCACCAACAACTACCCACTAACAACCATCTATTATTCACCCATCATTCATTCACCAACAATCATCCATCATTCACCGAACATTCATTCACCAACAACCACCCACCAACAACCATCCGTTATTCACCCAGCATTTATTCACCAACAACCATGTATTATTTACCCAGCATTCATTCACCAACAATCATCCATCATTTACCCAACATTCATTCACCAACAACCATCCATTATTCACTTAACATTCATTCACCAACAACCATCCACCAACAACCATCTATTATTCACTCAGCATTCATTCACCAAAAATCATCCATCATTCACCCAACATTTATTCACCCATCCACAATTTTCTCTATAAATATAACACTAAATTTTTTAGAATTTTCATATTCACCCACCCATGATTTTCATATCTTTTGAACTCTCATTACCCATCCACAACATTTTCTGTAATCTTCATATTCACCTACTCACCTACCCACCCATAATGAACAATTTCACGAAAGCCTTCTTCAATGGAGATTTTGATGAATCTTCATCATCTGATAATGATATAATCATGATGCAACTGTTAACAGCGCAACAACAAAGAATATAAGCATTAACCCTAAACCAACCAACCAGACATGTTGGTTCCACAAGTGGTCGTCGATACATTAATCATGAGAGGGTTACAAGCGACGAACAAATTTATAGAGATTACTTTGCAGATAATCCTGTCTACCTAGAATAATAGTTCCGAAGACATTTTCAAATGAGGCGATCATTATTTCTTAGTATCTTATATGATATGCAACAAGTAAATGAGTACTTCATCCAAACCCATGATGCCACTGGTGCTCCTGGATTATCCGGTATATAGAAGATGACTGCAATACGGCGTACCTGTTAATGCTGTGGACGAGTACATTAGAATCGGCGAATCTACTGCAACTACCGCCTTAAATTTTTTTACCAGAACGATTGTTGCTACATCTATGAAGGCATTTACTTAAGATCCCCCAATAAGGCAGATGTCACCAGATTATTGCAAGAGGGAGAGCAACGCGATTTCCTGAAATGTTAGGGAGTTTGGAGTGTATGCATTGGCGTTGGGATAAATGTCCAACCGCCGAAGCTGGTGCTTACACTGGACACTACCACAAACCAACAGTTGTACTCGAGGCAGTCGTCTCTTACAACTTGTGGATTTAGCATACTTTCTTTGGCATGCATGGTTCTCTAAATGATATTACTGTTCTTGACAGGTGTAGACATCTCATTTTTGACCGCCCTTAAGACTTGGGCGCCTCATGTTGATCACTCAATGATAAAAGTTACGTTGTACAAATTGTGCAAGTTCCTCAGTAAAAGAGCTTCGGTTTTCCAACTCTAGAGCTTAAAATTTTGTACTACCTTTGTAACAAACCTGTTTTGATTTCCAAAAATTGACTTTTTCCAAGCCTGACCACCGAGAGCCCAGCAGGCCAATAGGTGGCCGGCTAGCTAGAATTTAGTGGTCGGTCGTCCCTTAGGTGGCTGGTCGGCCAAGTTTCTCAGCTGACAGATATTTTGCTACTAGTTGTCTCCCTATGTGCATGCACCACACCAGCTGTCTCTATACAGTTGTGTTCGACAGAGGCATTGGTTTTTCTATATATACATGACCACCTCTCTTGAAATTAAGGTTAGAAAAATTATCAAAGGCCAAAAAACTTGTAAAACTCTCTCTCTCTCTCTCTCTCTCTCTCTCTTTTACAACCTAAACACTCTCTCTCTACACTTTCTAAACCAAAAATTTAGCTTTTCTTGCTGAGGTTCTTGAGCTCAAATCTCAGCCCTTGAGAGTGAGAACTTGTTAGTTTGTCAACAAAGGAGTTACCTCTCTTCAAGGGGTATAACTTTGAGCATCTCTATACTACTTCTCCCCTATATTTTCTTGCTGTTTTTGAACTGTTTTTACACTATTTTTATAGGGTAAAACTTGTGGCTTAAAGCTATCTAAGGTGGAGGGGTTAGCCACCCTTCTTTAAACCTTGTTTTCCAAGTTTTTGTCCTTGTGTTTCCCACCTCTTCCTCAACTTTTTTAAAGCTTTTTACCACTTTTTTCTAGAGTTTTTCAAAGGCGAAAAATGTGATTTTGAGGTCGCAAAAATGGAGGGGGTAGCCACCCCTTTTTG